CAGTATATGTATAGATATACATTAGTATATGTATGTACTAATATATACATATGCCTATTTATTAACTCTCTTTTGGTACCTCAGGAGCCCTACATAATCTCCCAAAGTTAGCTTGTGGTCAAAAATAGTTATTTTTTATTTTGATATTTGATTTCTGAAAGCCTGTCAAATACATCAAAGGTTTGAAACACTTACTTAAAATATGATAACAATAATAAACATTTATTCTGCCAAAGTAATAATTGAAAGAATTTTAAAAGCAAAAGCTTTACTCTTTGATAGAGAGGAGACTCAGTTTATCAAACAATAAAAGTTCTAATAAAGACAACATAAGGGAGTATCTCTACTCTCCCCTTTTTTTCTTATAGTTTCAATGTAAACAAAAATATTTTACTCTTATTACTACATGAAATTCTTGTTCAAATGGAAAAAGTAAATTTTACTTATTTTATTAGTGTATTATCAATATTAAAGCTAATTTTAATAAAACCTTATAAACAAATCTATTAAATCTGTTAGCTTTTGATCACAAAAGAGATTCATCAACCTGTTATATCCCATTCTAAAATATTTTCTATTTATTTTTATTTCTCCAACATTTTGTAACCTGCTAGTTTTATCTACATAATTTTTCCTTCATCTTGAAACAATCTTTACATAACTTCTAAACTAGATAAGATTATTTTTTCTTAACAAATACACATCTTCATTCCTTTGCAATTTTACTCACCAAGAGCTATATTAGTTTTTAATATGCTCTGTATACAGAATTCTTTCTTTTATATCCAGTAGTTTTACTCACATATATTAAATAAAATTTTAACTCTTAGCAACTTTAATTTCCAGTAAAAACATCTGGGAAGTAATTAATTTTGAACTTTTTAATATAAGTATTTGTAGTTGAAAACCATTTTATACTTTTTTCAGAAAGAGATACTTTCTCCTTTTTTTGTTTATTAATAGATCTAAATATATTTTCTTTTCCTACACCATGCAAAAATAAGATACTGAGGTATATACTCTTAAACTAATACTTGTTTTAGTATTTTAACTTTAGAAATGACTTAGAGATTTTATGATTATTACTTTAATTAACATAGCATGACTTTCAGAATTGAAATTACAAAGAATAATTTTGAAGCTCTGACACAGATTCCCCAGTGGCCTCCCCAGTCATCTTGGTGTCGGGGACCATCCGGGATGGGTAGGCACGTCTGCTGGGGGTCTCTCGACCTGCAAGAGAGTCCCAATACCTGGAAGAGAGAGTGTGCTTGGAAAAATAATAAAGACAGAGAGAGAGAAAGTGAGGTGTCTGGAGGGCTGAATAGGCTGTGCCTAAACAGCAAATTTTATTTTTCAAAGGCCAGGAATAAATACACTTTCTTGGCTCTGGTTTACGTCATTGCAAGAAGAAATGCAAATGTATACCTTACATGGCCTATACAAGAGAAGTCAGATACACAATCAGTGGTTGTAAAAAGTAACATAATTTCCTGTGATCACAAAGCTTGTTTACATCCACACATTATTCCTCCTGGCTGCAGGTATTTCTGGTTTGATCTTTTTTACTACTGAGATGTGAAAAAGTTTTTTGGTTTTGCTCATCAGAATATCTTTTAACCGAATTCTCCTTTGTCTGCTCCTGACTCAACTTATCTCAACTTCCCCATTCGGGAGTCTCTGAGTCAGGAATCAAAACCATCCCTTATGGTGGCATTTGCTTTGCAAATATCCCGACAGTTAAACCATTATCTAGGGTACAAGGCAGTCAGGTAAGTAAAGAAAAGGTTAAAGCTTATTCTTAAAGAAAGAGTCATAAAAAAGTTAAAAGCAGGAACCGGTTGCTGGCAGGGGGTCACTCGTTCTAGCAGCACTGCATAGTTTTAGGCCCAAACGATATTGTGGTTGATATTAGAAACTGATCACCCATCTTTAAGTTCCTTTTTCCGGATAGCTTGACTGCCTCCAGTAGGAACCTGTGTTTGGGATCAAACTCACCGTATAGCGAGACTCACGCCTTTTGAGGGTCTCACATGGGAATGTTCCCCACATCTTGGGTCCAAAATTCCCACCTGCTACCCAAGGGCAGCTATGAAGGGCAGGATATATTTGGGCCCTGATTTTACACATCAGGTGTAAAGCTCATAACAGTAGATAGAATTGTGAAAAGGATGACTGGAGGATTTGATCCTCCCAGCATTGCCAAGAGACGGAGCTGGGCCAGGGAGAATGGGGCCTTTTTGGGCTTGGCTCTGCACTGCAGCTGATAGCACAGTTGCTGTGGCCACACATATGTCCTGAGGCCGCATCATGGTCCCTATCTAGGCGTCAGAATCTAAAGCTTCAAAACCAAATGCATAAGCTCAGCAACAAATCAAGTAAGTATAAAAAACATTACAGAAGCAGCAGTTTTATAAACTTTAAATGTGTATCATAGACAATATAAGCCTGTCTGAGAAGTAGAACCAAGGAAGAGGTTGAATTTCATTTAATACTGGCGAATATATTCCTATTTTATTTTACCAAAAAACTTTATTTAAAGTTAATGTAACTTTATCAAATACTGTTTTAGATCACATAGAAATACCATATATGCATAACACACACACATATAGACAGAAGATCTTATAACTTCCATTAAGCTTTTTTATTTGCCAATTTTCAAATATTTTTTCCCCATTCAGGCTATCAACCTTCCAATTACCTGTTTTCATTGCCTTAAGCAATTGTTATCTAGGCAACCATAAATTCACACTTTCTTTCTTTCTTTCTTTTTTTTAATTGAGACAGAGTCTCGATCTGTCACCCAGGCTGGAGTGCAGTGATGCAATCTCAGCTCAATGCAACCTCTGCCACCCAGGTTCAAGCGATTCTTGTCCCTCAGCCTCCCAAGTAACTGGCACTACAGGTGTGCCACTATGCCTAACTAATTTTTTTTTTTTTTTTGTATTTTTAGTAGAGACAGGGTTTCGCCATATTGGCCAAGCTGGTCTCAAACTCATGACCTCAAGTGATAAGCTACCCGTGGCCTCCCAAAGTGCTGGGATCACAGATATGAGCCACCATGCCAGCCTCAAACTTTTTTTAAAAAAGGAGACAAGGTCTTGCTATGCTACCCAGGCTGGAGTGCAGTGACCATTCATAGTCATGATCATAGCACACGGTAGTGGTGAACTTCTAGGCTCAATAGACTCTACTGCCTCAGCCTCCTGAGTAGCTGGGGCTGTAGGTGTGTGCTGTTATAGACCCAGTCCAATTTCTGTTGTGACTTCTGAACACAGATTGTACCAAAAAAAAAATCAAATTCATATAGTTCAAACACAAATCTGTGGTGCTTGAGAATTGGAGAGCTGATTTACTCACAATCTCCAGTTGCTGCCCAGCTTTAAATTTGCCTTCTTATCATGAAATGATTCTTAGGGAAAGCAAGGTAAAAATTTACATCCCAAAAGCACAGAGCTGAGATTTCAGGCCTATATAGTGTACCATCATTTGCTCAAACCAAGGAAGGATGGTATAGGTAAAGGCCCTGTTAAGACAAGATAGCAAGGAAAAACACCCTAAATAAAGATAAGCCTTGCCATGTAAATTAAAAATAATGATAAGAGTTTCTAGTGACTCAATCCTCTCTTTCTTCCTGGTGAAGAGGCACATAATTTTATAAGTCGTTATTTCTTTTATAAGTGCACATTTCTTTTGCAAAATGGTTTCAAATAGCCTAATGCCTGAAAGATGTATTTTGGAGATGGATTTGATTCAACAGGAACTCTTCTTAACTTAGCTTTAGTTTCTTCGTTGCAATTACTTATTTCAAAGTGGAACTCATTAACTAATATGGCAAAGAAAGCATTCTCTATGCCTGGACTCAGCGTGAATAGCTCTGAAGAATAAAAGCAAGCCTGCATTACCTGAGACCTTACTTTTTATAAATGTCTTATCCCGCTTTCTTTCTACCTTCAGAGCAGAATAGCAACTCATCCAAAGGCTTATGGAGTCATTATTTCTTATGAATTAGTTACTTCAGTTTTTTATTTGCCTTTTATAAAGAGTCTTTTGTAAAAGGCAACAAAATATTCAAATTTTTTTAGTAGCTTCTGCACATCAATAAGCATCCCTGTTGTTAAACTAATTTGAGAGGTCTCATTATTAAATGCATTTTTAAAGTTCAGTGCTGCTCATTTAGAACATTGCACTGTAATTTAAAATCACTGTTAGTATGATTTTGCCTTTTATGTAAGCATTTGCTGCTTTTAGGGCCTAATACTTATAAGTGCAAATGTAGATGTAGATGGAAGAGGGAGTATTCAGTTCTTTAGAAACGGAGAGTCCCATATTTACTTTGAATCCTGGGTTTGGCTCACAGATTCTTTGATCAACTTTTTTTTTTTTTTTTTTTTTTTTTTTGTCTAAGCTCACAAGAATCAAATCAAAACAAAATGGATAAAACACAAAAATTTCTGCAAATTTCCTAAAACTGGAGTTCATACTCCTATTGCATTGCCATTTACTGAAAGTTTCTGTCTACAACTGTCAGACATCCAAAGCATCTAGCTTTATCTAATCCTGTTAATTATCAGATCCAATTTGATCCTGAACCCAGTAATTTCCATTTGACTTCTAAACACAGATTGTATAACAGAACTGCTCAGGCCAGGCACGGTGGTTCACGCCTGTAATCTCAGCACTTTGGGAGACTGAGGCTGGTGGATCATCTAAGGTCAAGAGTTCAAGACCTGCCTGGCCAATATGGTGAAATCCCATCTCTACAAAAATACAAAAATTAGCCGGGCATGATGGATGTTGCCGGTAATCCCAGCTACTCACAAGTCTAAGACAGGAGAATCCCTTAAACCTGGGAGGCGAAAGTTGCAGTGAATTGAGATCATGCCATTGCACTGCAGCCTGGGCGACTAAGCGAAACTCAGTCTCAAATTGCTCAAGCAAACTCAGTTCAAACACAAATTTGTGGAGCTTCAGAATTTGAGAGAGAATTTACTCACAGTCTCCATTTGCTGCAAGAGAGCAATGGACACAATTGGCCCAGCAGAAACCTCGCTTGGTCACTGGATGCTCTTAGGGTTCACAGGGAGTTCTACATTGCATCTCACTCCTGATGTTATCTTTTAAAAGAAAAATTTTAGACAAATTAATCTTAAAGTTTAATTGAGCACAAAATGATTCATGACTAAAACAGCTCCTAGAACAAGAATAGATTCAGAGTGACTCTGGGGCTACCACATGTCTGGAAAATATTTATAGCTAGAAAAAGGAAAGTTATATACAGGAAATGGAAGTGTAGGTACAGAAACAGCTGGATTGGTTATAGCTTGACATTTGCCTTATTTGAACATTGTTTGAACAGTTTGGATACTTGTGATTGGCTGAAACTATGAGATTGATAGAAGAGGAGGTTATAGTATGCTTACCTATTCAGTTAGGTTACAGTTTATTATGTATAAAGAAATCTAAGTTCAAACTTAAAATAAGTAAGAAGACAGATTTAGGGTAAACTTAACACAGTTTTGGAGTGGGAGAGGGGATATTTTCTCACTGAAGGTCTAGGGTTCTCACTAATTTTTTTGCAGTTTTAAAAAGAGAACAGTACCATTTCCAATATCCTGATTTTCTTTCAAAGTATTTGCAAACATTTTGAGATAAATACATGGACTTTAAAATATTTGTAGAGGGGTATTTTTGTTTATGTAAGGACTCCCTTTGTAAGAAAAAAACAATTGCTTTCAATTCCCCTAAAAACTATGCTGTAGTCTGAACAATATCCAGGGCTGATCCATCCATTTAACTATACTATCTTCAACTTGTTCTTTTATATTAAGGAACAAATCTCTAGCTAAGATGGAAATCAAAATATTTACCTGCTTTGAATTAGTTGATTGTCTCCAAAATGTTTTAATAAATCGTTTGTTTCCTTCTTGAGTATATGATCCCATTTGGTTTAGGAGAAAAAAAATGAAGACACAAAACAAAATGTTTTTATCATGCTCTAAAGATAAACCAAGTATTTAAATGAATGGAATGCTTGCAAAAAATAACTCAAAACCAAGGCAAATAAGCACAGATGAGAACAAAACCAAAAAAGGCTTTTATAGCTTTAATCAAGGTCTTCAAAGAGGGTACAAGGGCTGCAATCCTTTCAAGATCCAGACCATTTCCAATGATAGCTTAAAGAATGTGAAACATTCTCCAGGGTTTCAGTTAAACATCCACACACAAAGACCCAACAATACTGTGTGTTCCATAGATGGAAATTGAAAGAGACAGTAAATCAAAAGCTGTCCAATAGAAAAGATTACAAATAGATTCCACAGAAAGTCAAAAGTCATACAAATAATTTAAAACAAACAATGTTAACTAATTCTTATAAAAATTTCTATTTTGAGCAAAAGGTATCCACTGAGGAAATAAATGTTCTGGTGGATCAAAAGATCTTTAACCCTGTTTTAAAACTAATCTTTGCTGGAATGCTGCTTAACTAATTACCTAAAAGTCAACATTTAAAAGACAGGGTAAGATTTACATCTCCATTGGATGAAAAAGGCTTTTTCAGTCAGACTGAAGTGCTTTTTGTAAATATTATGATGAATTTACAGGAACGTGGAAACAGAGCTTCTTTTAAAAAAAGACTTATTTTAAGTATAGCTAATTGATGTATTTCAAAGTAACTTGAAACAATAAACCAAAAGAAAACTACCAGAGTTACTATATCTAAGAGCAAAATTATACAAATAATTTTCTCCTGAATTTGGAAAAAAAAGAGAAAAGAAAAAAATACCTTCCCCTTTCTACCAAGCACTATAGGTAGAGATCTGGAGCACTGATTTTTCTGCCAATGTTCAGAATTCCATCCACTGGCCATGGAGTGAGTTGAGTGTTTTTTTAATCCCTTTGTAGCCATGAAACTGAAGGGGAAAATTAATTTTTCTAACCCTCCTAAATTCTTAGTTGAGACACTCTCATGGAAACAGAAGTCAGATTAACAAGAGAAAAAAACAGCAAAAGTTTATTGACATAGGCTGTACCCATCATCTGGGAAAAACTCAGTTGTAAAGAATCTCTCTCAAGGCAGTGGCTTAGGGGTCTTGCTTAAACAGTAATTTTTAAAACAGCAATAAATCTTAACATAATGATAACACAATGGAGAAAGCAATTTTAGTCTTTTAAAAAACAGGGGAATGTGGGGAAGTAGTAAAATCTGTTTTTCAGATTCCTCTGGTACCTTCTGGTGCTTTCTCTGAGCTGGAAAAAAAAAAAAAAAGAAAGAAAGTGCTCTCTCCAGTAATGAAGGATTTATATCCTGACATTAGACTAATATAGTGTTCCTCTGCATTTTTAGCATCTTTGACTTAACAATCTTCAATATTTTGGGGAGAAAGATTTTGGATTCATTTATTACCCTATTTTACATCAGCTGATTAGCAAACTTAATACTATGTGCAACTTAAATTTTCCTTTGCCATCTAACCTAACATATTCACAGCTTGCTGGAATTAGCATGTAGATATCTTTAGAAGGCCATTATTCTACCTACAACAAACCCTTTTTAGCTATGTTATATTTATGGTGTGTCACAAAAACTGTGATGCTTCAGCTGTTTTTTTTCGTTTGTTTGTTTTTGTTTTGTTTTGTTTTGTTTTTGTTTTTGTTTTAGATGGAGTTTCGCTCTTGTTACCCAGGCTGGAGTGCAATGACGCGATCTCAGCTCACCTCAACCTCTGCCTCCTGGGTTCAGGCAATTCTCCTGCCTCAGCCTCCTGAGTAGCTGGGATTACAGGCATGCACCACCATGCCCAGCTAATTTTTTGTATTTTTAGTAGAGACGGGGTTTCACCATGTTGACCAGGATGGTCTCGATCTCTTGACCTCGTGATCCACCGGCCTCAGCCTCCCAAAGTGCTGGGATTACAGGCTTGAGCCACCGCGCCCGGCTTCAGCTGTTTTTATCTATAAAACAGAAGCAATAGTTCTTGTTTTGAGAGGCTCATGCTTGTCATCCCCGTACTTTGGGAGGCTGAGGAGAGTGGATCCCCTGAGGTCAGGAGTTCAAGACCAGCCTGGCCAATATGGTGAAACTCCATCTCTACTAAAAATAAAAAATTTAGCCGGGTGAGGTTGGACATCCTGTAGTCCCAGCTACTCCCGAGGCTGAGGCAGGAGAATCTCTTGAATCCAGGAGGCAGAGGTTGCAGTGAGCCAAGATCGCACCATTGCACACCAGCCTGGATGACAGAGGGAGACTCCATCTCAAAAAAAAAAAAAGTTCTTGTTTTGTCTACTACAATGGATATATTGAGTATTCAGAAGGATAATGCTTGTACTTTTGCTTTGTACTATATAAATAAGTATATTATCATGGCTCAGACAACATGACCTACAGTATGGTGCCTTGGCATCTGAAGTATTTTTGAGTTGAAGGAGATAGGAGTGCCTCAGAAGCTAGAACGTCTCCTTGACCTTATCTCATCTTCCTGTCTCCCACTCCTAATTCTCCCCAAAAGGAAACCATAAAACTTAGAAAAATTGCCCTCTGAACATTTGTCATAAGATCCTCACATGACAGTTGTCCTGATGTATATCCAGAGGAAAGGAATGCTAAACAGAGAGACTTAAGAAGAAACTGAACAAATAGGCCTTGCTGGGTTCTCTCCTCAGTTTATTACCATTACATTATACCTTTTGTGTCCGATCATTTTTCTCCAAAACTACTTCTTTCATCAGACTTAGTGTGAAAACACATTTTTTTCCTAAGTCTTTGACTTTTCATTTCTGAAGGCTCCCATGTCATATAATGAATTTGTTTTCATATAATGAATTAATTCATATAATGAATTAATCTGTCTTTTGTTATAAGGATATCAGCTATAAACCTGATAATGTTTATGGCAATAGGAACGGAAGATAAAGCACTTTTTCTTCTCCACAATATGAATGCCAGGTGTTGACTATACATAATCTTTTTAGTAAAATGTTACTATAATACAAATACAGAAGTACTTAAAATTGCACACTTGTTGAAAGAGGTCCAATTTGATTCTCAACAGGTTTGGAAAACTAAAACTAAACTGGCATTCCACTTTGCCAAAAAAAAGGAATATATCAGATAAATTTATATATGATATATTTATAATATATAAAACCTTGTGTGAAATTAATTGCATTTATCACACACTTTTAAATAAGTAATTAAACTTAAGTTCTTATTCAATGTTGTTTTATACTTATCTTCATATTCAATCTCGGAGTATGAGAAGTTAGACTATTCCAAAAACATGTCAGTATTCATAAAATTGAATCTTACATCTTATCTCAAATTTACTTATTTCCCCACATTGGTTTGTAGTATTAAGGACCACAATGTAATAGAAATCTGTGATTGCTTTTGATTTTAAGATGAGAACGTCTCCATATTTCCTGAAGCAAAATTGTCGTGTTCAGAGGTTTCATGCGAGTCCTCGTTGACCAGCTGAAATTCTTCAATTCTTATTATTGATATACTGTAGCATAAAATTGTTTTTTTCATTATCGAACGTTTCCTTCTGTTCACTGGAAACAAATGTGAACCAAATGTAACCAGATTTAAATTTTAAAACATTAATTTAAATTCATTCTATATTTTCTTATCATCCTAGGAAAGTTATTAATTGCCAGCTTAAATTGCACATAAATAGTATCATATGTTATTTGGGATTATATGATGGAATATTTTTAAATAGGCTTTAATAAAATAAATAGTGAAATAAAGAAAATGTATTTGTGTGTGAATACATGCTTACATATTTGTGGTTCATAAATGTGTGTATGTTAAAAAATGTGTGTATGTTTGCACATTTGAATGTGGGAGTACACAGTAAAAAAAGGAATAAGTCTGGAGGATGAGAAATGACAAAGAGAGTAGACATTAGAAAATATTAAACAATATTAATTATAACTCCCAAGTGGTAGAAATGATTCTGTTCAAATTTTATCTTATAAACTCAGGACAGAGAGCTATTTTTTACTGATTCTCTCTTTACATTTATTTTACTTAACACTGAGTTGGTATATTTTTTCATGATTTTCTGACTTGGAAATCTCCATTCAATGACATTTATTAGGTGCCTATTTA